TGGTGGGCAGAGGGAAGAGGAGAAATGTAGGCTGGAGAGAAAAGAGAATGAGGGAGAAAAGGAGATGCCTGGGGCCAGTCAGGCAGGCAGCCTCCAGCCAGCCAGATATGGGGTAGGACATACAGAATGAAAGAAAGGTAAAAGCCCTGAGCTAGCCAGAAACAAGCCTAAACCAAGGCCAAGCATTCATAACTAGTAAGAAGTTCTTTGTGCCAAGATTTGGGAGCTGGTTTGTGGTCCAAGAGAAAACCTGCTACACCCCGTCATGATGATAAATGAACTGAACCTCTGAAACTGTAAGCAAGCCACCCCAATTAAATTTTTTTTTGTTTTTTGTTTTTATAAGAGTTGCTGTGGTCATGGTGTCTCTTCACAGTGATAGTAAACCCTAAGACAGCTAGCTATGGGAAAAAATAATACTGTGATGAGTTTCATCAGCTATGATGGTGGCAGCAACATCCATAAATTTAAAAATTTTTCAAGACAGGGTTTATTCTGTGTAGCCCTGGCTGTCCTGGAACTCACTGTGTAGGCCAAGTTGGTGTTGAACTCAGATATCTACCTGCCTCTGCCTCCCGAGTGCTGGGATTAAAGGGGTGGGCCACCACTGCCCGGCTGCACAGATACTCTTTATAAAATTTATGTATTTTTATTTTATGTACATTGATGTTTTGCCTGCATGTATATCTGTGTGAGGGTGTCAGTTTTGGAGTTATAGACAGTTATTAGCTGCCATGTGGGTGCTGGGAATTGAACCCAGGTCCTCCGGAAAAGAGTCAGTGCTCTTAACTGCTGAGCCATCTCTCCAACCCCACACAAACACTTATAGAAGTTCACTCAATTGATCCCTAGGTTAGTAAGGGATCTAAGGGAAGAGTGATTCTCCTGTACCACATCATCTAGCAAGGGGCTGAAAACAGGAAGGTTACCCTAGCATCAGGTCAAATATGCTAGAGAGTACTATTTTGGCTCCAATTTGTAGGAAGGATGTCTTCATGCTTAGCTGTTGCTGCTGCCTCCATGGCCCAAGGGCTAATGTGTATCTTGTATAGGTTCACAAGCTCAGGGTCTTTGAGAGCCTCCACTGCCAGAAAAGCCCAGAATGTGGCCAGGATGTATGCCATTCTAATGGCAGTAGTACACGGCCAAGAAAGTGATTCGCATTAGAAGTCCGTAGACAATTTATAATTACGTTGGTTTACCCAGAAACTCCAGGAAACGTGAGTGGATAGCACTAAGGTCACTGAAGGAGTCTCTAACGATAACAGCAGGAGTGCCTGTTGATTTTATTTCAGAGAAATTCTGGTGCTTTTTGTTGTTGCCACACCTATGCAAGGCAGGCTGAGTTGTTAGTAACAGCATAGGTATGCTTAAGTTAAACTTCTAAACAAAGACCATGTTCCCATGATAATCCAAAAAGGACTAGAAGATAGTGTTTAATAAGTGTTTCACAGGAGACTGTCATAATGTAATGTTGTCTTATACACTTGGAGAAAGGCAGAGGTGTTAGGGTCATCCCAACAAAGGTTTTTTTTTAATGGCAGGGTTGTTCAGGTACCCTGAGGTATCCTGTCCCTTTCAAGGTGAAAGCAAATTGTGACTGAAGGGGCATTCAAAGAGGTAAAACATATTAATCAAATCTAGACTTTATGGGACTGATATCCCGGACAACTTGTTGTTGATATATTTATTACCTACTGACACCCACAGGTGATGTACAGTTCCAAGCTGGGACACTAAGCCTGTGAAGTGCTTTGCAGAGGACCACTTCAGGAAAAGGCATTTTGTTTCCTGTGATGGTTAGTGTTAAATGTCAGCTTGACGGAATCTATAATTTCTCGGGAGATGGGCTTCTGGAAATGTCTGTAGATGATTCTCTTGATGATATTATTTGAGGGAGAAAGACCCACACACTATGGGTGGCACTATTCTCTGCCTGGATCCCCTCCATTATATAAATGGAGGAATGGAGCTGAGCCACAGCATGTATCCACTGCTCTCTGCTTACTGATTGTGGATTGGTGTGACCAGTAAGCCTCCTGGTCCTGCCGATATGCCTTCTGTTGTTGATTGTTTTTGCTCTTTTGGGGGGCCTGTTACCCAACTCTCCAATGAATCACATATGAAGGCTTATTCTTAATTATAAATGCCTGGTCTTTGTAGCTAGAGTTTTCCTGCCTTGCCCACAGTCAGGACAAATCTTTGTCACCCGTCAGTCCCACAGCTGCTCAGACCCAACCAAGTAAACACAGAGACTTATATTGCTTACAAACTGTATGGCCGTGGCAGGCTTCTTGCTAACTGTTCTTATAGCTTAA